TATTTGTTCGGTATACTTTTGAGCGCACCATCTATAATAGCTTTCTGTAGGAGGTCCCATGTGAAGTTGAGCTTATGGATGTTAGAAATATTGTCAAGGTCGGCAGAAACTAATCTCGATTTTTTACAACGAGCGTCAACGGTGTTAGCAAAAGTTGACTAATCATCATCCATCATGTTATTATACATAAAATTATGTTTTTTCATCATTGAGGAATTGTTGAAACTTGGATTAATAGAGGATAAAGTTATCGAAGTGGAGACAATATAATGATCAGATAGCGATGGATCCACCAGAATAACTTAGTGGTCATTAAAATCTGGAATTAAAGAAAAGGCAATAAAGATGTAATCAATAATTGAGCGTGATGAGCCACAGACATAAGTATGAAGGTCATTTATATTTTTTGTCGATTTAACAAAGTCGTAGGTGTTAACGAAATTATTGTTTGTAATATGATTCATGAATTGAGTTGAGTGTGAAGGGTTGTGAGGTCATGATGGGTCTGAATTGAAGTCTCCTAAAATAATGGTATAAAAGTTAGCTCTAATGACTTCATCCATAAGGGTGCACATCTGATAGATTGTTTATAGACGAAGAGGTTCATCTGAACACAAAAGATAAACGTTAATAATATGAAGTTTGTTTTTGTTTTTAAATTGGAAGTCAATGTAATAAATTCGATTGAAAAATGATGAGTGGTAAAAAATATGATCAGCGAGGTATTTTTTAACGAGAAATCTAATGCCAAAACCTAAACGTCGGATGTCAGTTTCCGTGGAAAAGAAGGGTGAAAATTTGTTATTGCAAATGGATTTGAAGGGGAAGTGGTAGAAGGGTGTAGTGAAATTGGTTTCTTGTAATGCAATAATATCTAAATGGTTAATAAAGTAAAAATCAAATAAAAGTTGTTGTTTGTGTAGGTCAAGTAATGAGCGAGTATTATGGGATGCGATGTTAAAGAATGTGGGGGTGAGTTTGAAATCTTTGTTTGTTTTTTTAATCATTAAATAGATTTAGAAGAAGAGATCAGGGTGGGACGTTTCAGTGCCATCATCATTAACCCAAATTGCACCTGGTTTGATCAGTTGAGGGATAGGTGTACAGAGTGATTCATTTGATTTCCCATACACGAATTTTTGGATACGAGCGACTGCTTCAAGCGCAGAGTTAAGTTTCTCTATATTTTGTTTGTTATTTAAGCGAAGTTCCTCGTTTTCTTGAGCAAGCCATTAGAGTTTTCCTTTGTATTCGACGATTTTAGATTCGGACGTATCTATGTTCTCTTCATATTGGGAATCATCTGTTTCCATGTTGGCTTTTCCTTTTTCTTTATTTTCAGAATTTAAAACTGCGACTTTTTCTGGAGTGAGAGTAAAGATATTGAGGTGTCTTTCTACAGTATCAAGGCGTCAGATTGTAAACGTAAGGTCTGTGTGTATTTTTGCAAGGGTTTCTGTTAGCGCATCTAATTTGAGCATAATTTTTGTAACATCAGATGGTTCCCATGCAGATTGGTTGTCGCGTTGTTGTTTTGAGAAGAGATAGTCATTTTCGACCTGTTCTAACCAGGATTTGTTGGCATGGATGGAGTCATCTAAAGATGATTTATTATCATTATTTGTGTTGTTTTTGTTGTTGTTATTATTTTCGTAAGAAGGCGGTTTGGAATGAACTGGAACGATTGGGGGGTTTGTTCAAAGGTGGTAGATTATGACGAGTACGATTCACGAAAGATCGAGGATTTTTGGGATCAAAAACAGTGTCTTTGTTATGTATAAATGTAGGTCGTACAGGTTTGGGAGGAGCGGAATAGTTCTTGAATTGTGCAGGTTTGAACCTTTGGTACAAATTTTGAGTTTGACGATCTTGTGACGCAACACATTTCTTTCTACAAGCTTGAGTGTCATGTCCAGGTGCGGCGCAGTGAGCGCATAATTTAGTGTCGGTTGGGTCCAAATGAGTCTTTTATCATCAAGGATAATTTGATCTCCATTCACTGCAGCATATAAGTCTTCCTCCGTTGCAAAATAAACAAAGGCATATTGTAAATTACGATAATTTAACTAGGCTTTAGGGACTATCCATATCATTGCATTAACTGCCTTAGCGATAGGTTCTAATTCTCGGCTGGATGTGTCTTTAGGCAAGTTTGTCAGTTTGAGTGTGAATTTTGAGCGCAGTTGAATTTCCTCTATTATAGCAGAGCATGGGTGAACTCGGACTAGATCTTTGAGAATAAATTGCCTTTTAATGTTAGTAAATACTGACATATCAGTACCTTCTACGAATGAAATAGTCGCTTGTTGCCATAAATTTTTAGTGATCATTGAGCATCGTAAAATATTTCCATATTTGGCAAATGTTGATTGTAAGACGTTTTCAGAAGTTGAGATGGGGATCTCTGTGACCTTGATTGCTAAATTAGAGTTAAACTTAAATGGGGTAAGACGCTTGAGTGACATCAATTTCAGATCTTTCATATTGGGAAATTTGGCACGAAGCGCGTTGTTAGCGTCAACACTCATGGAAAAACTGAATCAGACAATTTTAAGCGTTTTGTTAGCAGGGTCTTGCTTTATCGATGCATCAATGAAAGAAGGAAAATTAGCGCTGTTGAACATTTCACAAGCCTGATTGATTTTTTTCTTATTGGATTTGCTGGGAAGAAAAGTCTCGAAGGCGCAGTAAATATAGTAAGAGGAAGCGTCACGAATACGTTCGAAAGAAAGTATATTGGGTGAAGAACCATTTTTTCCAACGAGGTTTTTGGTAGGGTTGTGGGCTTAGTTTTCGTCCATAGTGCTGGTGTTTTTAGAAGTGACTAGTGTTGAGACACTTTCGTTTCCATTACTAAGAGGAGGGTCAACTTCCATAGTGCCTTGGGAGCCAGAAGCGACGTTTGAGTTATCAATATTTTCAGTGTCACTAGAACCTGGACAGTTAAGAACTGTCACAGTTTTCTTTTGTGAAGGTTCTTGAGACTTATCGTCGACAGGTAAGTCTGGTCGACTACGAGTATTGCGTTGTGTTTTCGGATTGTTATTAAATTTTTTTTGAGTTACTTTTCCCATATTGATTTTGAGAGGAGTGGGAAAGAGTTTTTTTTTCTCATTAATCGACGAATGAAATTTGTGGATTTGTTATTACCAATTTTGTGTTACGTAACTAATAGTATAAATTTTTGTTTATCGCCTAAACTATTTTTTTTTTCATACGTGTCAAACGCGTACCTCGAAAGATTATAAAAACTCCCTTTTTGTATTTCAAAATTCATTTTTTTTTTTCACACTTAATTATCTTGGATTTTTGAAGTCGAAAGACATTTTAACTCACTTCAAGTTTATAGGGAAAAAAACAAAACAAAAATGGACTGACTGTTTACATTAGGTAAGAAATTATCTTGGACAAACTAGTCTATTAAACTTGCGTCATTGTCGGTTCACTTAGGTAAATTTAAAACAGTAAAATAGAGAACCGGAAGCTCTTCGTGGCCTCCTCTCTAGTAGGTTGTCAGTTTAGCATGTTTTTTTTTGGTGAAGGTCTACTAGTTCTCCAGAAGGAATTGGTTATGTCTTCCTTTGCAATACAAAAACCAATATGTCTAGCGAGTTACTCCCGAACCAAGTGCGAGAACGTCCTTCTCTATTTGTAGTGTCAATTGTTTATCTACTTTAATTGGCAGCGTTTAAGGAAATAGTTCTACCTTTATGGTCAAATGTTTTTCTATTATAATTGCCCATTATTTAGGTGAATAAATGGAGGGAGAACTGGAAGCACTTCGTGGCCTCGAACGAGAACGTCCTTCTCTTTTTTGTTTATTTATCTATTTAGTGGCTTACTTAGATTTATCTAATCCTTTTTTTTTTTTAATTTTAAATTATTAGGTAAAAATGCGAGAAAGATTGCATTAGGTAAGAAATTATTTTGATCGAAATAAAAAATGTCTTTGTTATGAACATAAATTTTTGTGATTTTGATTTTATTTAAAAAAATAAAGGTGTTGATTGCATCAATAGTGGTCATTCAGATACGTAACGAAAGCCAAGCAATACATATTTGGGGTAACAAGACAAACCGACGTGATCTTCAAGCGATTATTACAAGTAGCATATCTGAAAAAATTTTAATACGAAAGAAATAATCAACCATTAATTGCACAATTCCACAGAGAATAAATTGAAGTGGTGACTCCTATATGAGTATAATAAAATGCTTTAAATGCATCTCCAAAAACCATTAAGGAAAAAAAAAAATTTGTTGAATTTTAATGATTATTATTATTATTATTAATTTTTTTTTTTTTTTAAAAAAAAAAAAAAAAATTTACCTGAATCCTGCTACAGACCTTTTTGAAAATTTTGTAACATTTGTGGCATAGGAACAGTACTTACGATACCAAGTGCCTACAAAAAAAATAATTATCTTACTTTTATTTTTTCGCATTCAAATAAAGAATTCATACCGCAAAACCTAATAGTTCAATAAACCAATATCGATCACCAAACGCTAAATAAGAAATTGATAAACCACCAAGAAAAGTTAAATATGGACTTCCTTGCCACGAAATATTTTCTCTGACAAATTTTTTTTCTCTAATGGGAAAATACAAATTTCAAATAATGTAAGTTTATTAATGTCATAAATTAGTTATTTCAATATTTCAAATAATTAATAAATAAAAAATAAAAATTATGTATAATAAAAAATTACGAATACAATGGTCATTGTTAATTATTATAAGTAACTTTATCAGGTTATTGGTTTGTAATGAAATATCTTTTCAACATACCAATGTAACGTCAAAATGATCTTAATGATCTTGTCGCATGTGCCGATCAATATATGCCGTGGACTTTTACCACGTTTGTGACGTTTTGTTGCAGTAATGTTCAAAATTTTATTTTTTTTTTTAGATCGTATTTATGCTTAATTATGATATATAATATTTACATAACTCTAAATTTATAGAACCTTCTTTTCTATAATACTCATTCAAAATGCGAGATTTAGAAAAGTATCGTAAAGATTCGCGTTATAAAAAATACGTACAACTTGTAGAGAAAGTACTACAATCCTTTGATAAAGAAGTCAATGAATGGGCCGATTTCATAGCTTTTTTGGGAAAGCTTTTAAAGGTAAAATTTTCACTTCACATCTTTTAAGTGAAAAGAATTTTTGTTTCTTACATTTATTTTTTATTATTTTTAAAACCTTTTGTTTTCAGGCTTTTCAAGCTTATCCTCAGTTTTCCGTAATACCTAGAAAGTTAGTTGTTGGCAAAAGACTGGCACAATCCTTAAATCCGGCACTGCCCCCCGGTGTGCATCAAAAGGCTCTAGAAGTTTACGATTATATTTTTAATAGTATTGGAGTAAGTTTATTCCGTAGATCTGTTTTATTCGAGTAAATTTTGATAAAGAAATTCATCAAAAGAATGACATTAATGAATAGATCGAACAATTAGCAGACGATTTACCTATTTATTCTCAAGGATTATTTCCTTTCCTTCAATATGCTGCCATGAATGTTAAAGTAAGCTGAATTATTATTATGATTGTAAAAATCTATTAAAAAGTTTAATATTAAAAGTTTTTATTTTCAATGATCAGCCTCAATTATTAGATCTATATGAAAAATATTTCTTTCCTTTACGGAATCAATTAAGACCTGTGATGAAAGCATTTATCACAGCCCTATTACCTGGTTTAGAAGAAGAAGGAAGTGAATTTTTTGATAGGGTATATGATTCATATGTCATATTTATATAGAGTTTCTTTACATTTTATTTATTGTTTTGAATTTTTTAGGTTTTATCCCTTTTGAATTATCTATCTGGGATTGTAGAACAGACATATTTTCTGCAGAGTATGTGGCTTGTATTAATAACATCATCATCCTTACGGACTCCGGCTTTAAATTATTTATCTCGGCGGATGCCAAAAATCACATCTAAAGAAGGTTTTCTGTCTAAAAATATTATATTTGTGGGTTCTTTATTATATAGGTTTTAATTTGTTCAACAAATTCATTCACAATTTTTTTTGTATTAATTATATATATCATCCTTTATGAATTTTGGATTTTAAGATGTAGCAGTAGTGTTGGGTGATGATATTGGAATTATGGTTCGAGCATTTTCAGCGACACTGGATGATAAACACGTTTTGGTGCAACGAGCTATTCTTGATTTATTAGTTAAAAGTTTCCCTTTAAAAGTCAAAAATGTTGGAGAGTATGTGTTTTATTTTAATTGAAAATTTATTCTAAAAAAAACTTCAATAATTAACTTTATTTTGTTTATTTATGAAGGATCATTCAACAAGATGATCTTATATTATTAATGAAATCTGCTTCGGCAGTTGTTTTACGTAAAGACATGTCACTTAATAGAAGGCTTTATGCATGGCTTTTAGGACCCGACGAAAATCCGGAGCAACAAATTGAACATTTTCATCAATATGGCAAAAGTGCTCTCGTTTCTGCTTTGAGGGTATACAACTATTTTAATTTTACCGAAAAACTTCCTTAATTAGGATTATATAGTATCAGTAGATATTATCATATCATAATTTCATTAATATTGATAATGCGGTGTTAATTGTATATATTAATAATATTGTTGATTTTAAATGTAGAACATGTTTTTTTTGGATACGAGTGATTTAGCTACTGCACAACGACCATATAAGATTTTGATATCATTGATGGATAAGGAAGAAATTGGACAACCTATTGTACAGGATTTACTTGTCGATATTTTATGGTCATTTAAAAATCATACTGAAAAGTCAGAATTCAGTTCCGATGTATGTCATTTTACCTTTGTTTTATCATTTATCAATAGATTAAAACATTAATTTCTTATTTTTTTTTTTTTCATTCCGTATGATTCATTAAAGTTATTACAAACAGCTAATATGTTTTTGGAAATGATTAATCCATATTTAATTTGGATGAAATTATATGGTCTAGTTCAGGATCGATTTTCTGCTCAAGATGGATTAGATATTTCAGTTAGTATTAATTCTATTAAAATTATATTTAATTTTTGAATGTCCTTAATTTTAAATTTTTATAATTATCTAGGCGTTGGATTTGGTTAATTTCGTATTGAATTCTTTTCGAATGCATGAAGATGAAATTGAACAAATACATATGCCACTATTCGTTACTGCCTTACTTCGTAAACTTCAGGTTAACGATTCAACGTGAATTTGTTTATTAATTTTATTTGAATAGCTATCATATAACCTTTTTAATCTAATAACAGATGTTTACAAATGAAGCAAATTTCAGTCACCGTATTTCACAAACTGAATCTTCTCTAACATTATCTTTGGATTTATTGCAAAAAATCCCTGATAGTGTTTTTAGTTATTGCGAACTTTCAATTAAAAAAGATTCTCAAGAAAATATACAAATTCCATGTAAGGAATCTTCAACGTCACAAGTTGAAACAGATTCTGTGAATGAAGAAACAGAATCTGCGCAAATGTCGCAGTTAGGAGTTGATTTTTACACGGGAATGAATGCTGTGAAATATATAAATGATTTTTATTTTTATGAGAATGAAAAAGGGAGTGAAAATATTGCAAGCAAGCAAGTCAGTGGTATTCGAGGACAATACTTAATTGAAGAATTACTGAATTCTATTCAAGGGTTCTTGCACAGTATAATCACTAAAGCGATTCTTGTCAAAAGCGACGGTTCACAGGAAATTCCATCGAGTCATTTGGCTATAATAATGGATCGCATCTGTTGCCTTTTAAAAGGTGTATCAATGCGATTACATTTAATAGAGAATAATTCTGTAGATTATGCTAATTTGGTATCAAAATTATTCAATGGGGAATGGGTCTTCTCACTGCTAAAATGTTGTTATATGATTGACAATTTCGATATAATTGATTCAGCACTTTCGACTATTTTACATATTATAATTGATCAACAATTTGTATCCTCTAGTCTCATCAACTCAAAACATCAAATACGTGAGATTGTAGATACTTTATGGAAATTTTTAGATCCTAATAAAGCGGCCTTTCATTTACGAGTTGTCCAATTAATTTGGAGTTTGAAAGATTTATCTCAAGCGAATTACGTAGAGGCTGTCATTTCAGAATATCTTATACAAAAAGATTCTTCCGTACGGCAATCGAACTTTGAACGCTTTGGTACTTTTTGGAGACTTTCTGAGAATTTCCAAGATAAATACTTACATTTCTCTCAGCCAATGTTTTTGATGCTTGATGCTTTGCGTGATGAAAATCCGACTAATCGTCGTGCAGGCGAAACATGGTTACGATGTAATAAGAATTCGTACACGAGAATCTTAGAACCTTTGATCCAAATTCTTTGTGATTCTTCAATTATGAGACAAAAGGCTGAAAAAATAATTGGTGTAGAGACTTTCCGACTTTCTTATTACGAAAGACCATTTAATCAGGCTCAAGTTGATTATGTATTTGAGACATTGTCTACTATCTGTCGTGTTGGGGGAGCTAGCTTTATGAAAACGATACGAAAACAAAACATAAAACATGATTTAGCAAAATCATGTAGTTGGCTTTCTGAAGAAGGAAATGGAGTTATGAATGAAGTTGTAAGAGAGATAACATATAGTGAACTTTTTATCAAGACTTCTATATTTTATATGGAGGCTGAAGTGCCACATACACTATCCTCTATGACTGTACTAAATGAATACATTCATATGCATGCAATGGACTTTCTTTATCATTTAATTTCAAAGATAGATTATGTCAATAACGATTTGGTTCAATTGGTACACGATGCGTTACTGCGGAAAATTCTTTTTTGTATATATTCGAAAAAGTTGGATTTACAATCAAGACTGTTACATTTATTATGTATTACAGTAACCCATATAGGATCCGCTAATCAACATTCTAAAGTAAATCCTGTTTATATTGATGGTCCATACAATTTACCACCATATACCTATGATAATTCAGCGTCAAAGGAAGATACGGATACAAAGAATGAAAATTTAGATGTAGCAAGATCATCACGTTCTTTAATTAAGGTGTTGCTTGACGCCTTATCAATAAATTCTAATCGTCCTCTCTTACAGCAGTGGATGGATTTTATTCTGGCATCTTTGCCTTATTTCAGACATTCATTTAACTCTGTATTAGTTCCATTAATCCAGCGTTTATGTGAACAGTTAAGTCGATGGAAAACCGAAATGCATAATCATTATGTTTTCATGGCTGATGATGATACATCTGATTCGTCGAAATATAGCAAAAAATCTGGTGATTTGTCAATGTCCGAACGGGATATTATTACTTTACTTGGTGGGTTCGAGAAAATAGTTATGTTTTGTTTAAAGGATGGAGGGTTAGTCAATGAAGCAGATAACTCTTCAACCGGCTCTAAGGCATATGAATCATCTCTTGGACTTTCTGGCTTTGGTAACCTGTTCTCAATAGATACAAGTCATACCGAACAAACTTCGTCCGAACAAAAAGTAAACACTTTATTTTTTAAATTATTTTTGTTGTCGTCACCTCATAATCATAGAAACTTATTATTATAATTTTTACAGCCTCGCGATTATATACTTTATGTTGTTTTCCCAAATATTGTTACCATAGTTATAGACATATGGACCATATTCAAGGATGTTCACTCATCTAATCGCCCACATAGGGTTGGAACTGATCCGTTTTTGATTACATTATCTCATACGCGAGACAGAACTCATAGACGTATTATGAAGCTTTTAGATAAGTTACATAAACATGCACATGCAGAGCTTATTGAAGCATTTGTGGAGCTTTGGTATATCGAAAACCCTAATAGTATTTCTAGTCAGGAGGTAAATAAAAGTTATAATTATTATCATATAATTTCGGTTCACTAAATCACCACCTTTATTTTAGATGCTAAACAAATGTGCTGAAAGTATTGTCATTGATGTAATGAAAGTCATTCCAGGTTTATCCCCGCAAAAAGTGATAGTCACTATGCTAAATAGCGCTCGTGGGCGAGCACAAGTTGTACAAAATTCCCGAATAAAAAAGTTGGGATCTAAGGTGAACAAGATGTAAGTATTTCATGTTCACTTTCTTTGATAAGATTTATTATATTTATAAGTTTGTCCCTATTGTTTTAGATCCGATATTATTATTCTACGATTTTTAGAAGTTTACTGCGATTCTTTAGCAGTTAATCAACCCCTGATTGAAGTTTGGCCTCAATGCTTGGCTTACATTAAAGACTATATTGCGCAAGCTTCTTCATATAAATATTTGTTTCCTGCACTTCTTAAGTAAGTATGATGAAATTATAGTGCAGTATGGTATATCATGCTTTGATTTGATTTAATACTTTATTCACTTTTAAGGTTTATGCACAAATTGTCGGATAAGTTGTGCTCCACAGCTTACTTTGAAGATAAAAAGGTTCGACGAGACATGCATGTACGAATTGATATTCATCATTTTTTTTTTTTAATTTTCTTTTTATTGTTTACTAAGTTTTGTTATTCTTTAATTAGGACACATATCAACGTATTTTAGATTACTGCATATTGATCTCGGGTCGTTCATTCGACCAAGGGATATGGCTAAGACGATCAGTAGCTATAGACGGTGAAGTCGAAAGCATAGAAGGTATGTAGTAGTTTTGTCATATTTCAACAAAATTTAAAGGAAACTCATTAATTTATTTGTTTAACCTTAGTTAATGACGAAAGAGATTCAGATCTCGGTAGTTCAGTTAATTTGATTTCCGAGGAGAAAAAAATCGTTTCAAAATCCAAAGAGGAAATTTTAATTGATCAAGTAATTAATTTCTCATCTATTTATTTACTTTTACTTTATTTGATAATAATCAGGTTATTTGTAATTTTTTTTTTTTAAGGTAAACTATTACCTTGCTACAGTTGTGGTTCCAAACATAAAACGATTGTTAATTGATCAAGATCGAATTGTTTCTCTTTTGACGAATATGATGTATTATATAATTGGCCCTGTACTGAAAAATCGCCCCAGGTCAGTTTGTGATTAAAATATTAATTTTGCATGAACAAACGGTTTAACAAAACAAATATACTTTCAGTACTGGTATACCAAATGTCATATTAAATCTCATTTGCGAGATGTCCAAGCTACCTTTTGCATATCGTGTCTGGCGTAAAGAATTATGGGATGTTTTTATAGATAATAAATTTTTTAATATGACACCTGGAGCAGCTAAAAAATGGCGTATCATTATGCAAACAATTATGACTTCAGAAAAGGAAAGATTCCCTGAACTGTTGGGTATGCTTCCATAATCTCCTCCTAAACTTTTAAATTTTTGGTATCTCTGATTAATCTTTATATTTTCTTTTATACTTCAGGACGTTTGTCTACATCACCTGCAAATGCTTTGTTTGTTAGCAAAGAACAAGAATCTTTGAACCGTGCATTAAATCTGAGACGTTTCTCATTTGTAATTTACTGTGGTAATATGGATCAGTATCTACAATATCTTCCTCCTATACAAGAGAAGTTGGTAGAGTTATTCAAATTGGGTTTATCCGAATTAGTACACGCCGAGGTAAAATTTTAAAATAATAAATAATTAATTATTGATGATGATTTCATTATACGAATTAATTATGTTTATTAGATTTATTTGACACTCCGAATATTAATGTGTCGAATTTCGAACCAACATTTATCAAATTTTTGGCCAGTTATTCTTACGGAATTGGTAATGTTTTATAAATATCTCTCTCCCCTTTTTTGTGGTCGACTCGATTCTTATTATTTATATTATTTAATAGGTTAGATTGTTTGGGATGTTCCTACAAAAAGAACCTATTGAGCAACAATCTGAAGTTGCTAACGTATTTTTAGCTGCTTGCAAATTTTTGGATTTATTATTCGTTTTACAAACTAATGATTTCCAAGTGTAAGATTTAAATTAAATTATTATCTTTTTAACTAAATTTCGTATATTAATTATATATTTAACTTCGATTTATTAGATATGAATGGATGTTCATATCAGACACAATTAATGTCATTAATCACGCTCTTGAATGGTCGCCTTATGCGTTAATGGATAAGTTGGCGGATCATCTTTCAGGTCAACAGCAAGATTTATCAAAGGTTTAGATAAACATTCTTTTACTTGAAATCACAAATTTTTCGAAATATCAATTTTTTCACTTTTAACGTGTTTTTGGTTTACTTTACAGCTTCACTTGGATAATATAGCTAGTCAAGTTAGAGCGGAATCACCATTATCACGAGCTCTTACTTTTTCAAACGGTGACAGCAAACGACCAATGTTGACATTGAAAAGTATTACTAGTATTAGGCAATTGGAATTTTTTGTAAGAAATGTGAGCTTATATGTATATAAATCTATTTACACACTTGCAAAACCAGATATTCCATATATTGAAAGTTTATTAGAAAATGATATGTTAGAATACGGTAGTGTTTATAGCACTACTGAATTGGGAAGTATTGATGTTGGTAGTGGTGAGATATATTCGTAAGATAAATCGAACAATTTATTTATTTATTTTTTTTTTTGGACAATAATTTATTTTATTTATTGGATTTAATAAACGTAGTTTGTCTTTAATATAGCATTAAAATGTTAACTAATTTTGTTATTAAGAACAAAATGAATTATAAATCCAAAAAAAAACTACATCAGATATTATAATCGGTCATCTCATTACAGGTAATCTTTCATGCGTAATGTTTGAAAAGACTGAAACCACGATCTAAAGATGGTGTTAATCCAATTTATTTTAGGTGTGGTGAATTATTTTTTTTTTTAATAAAAAAAAATCAAATGATCACATTAATTCGAAATGTATACTTCAGAAAAATTAGTCGTAAAAAAATTTGGTCATTTGTATCACATGATTCTGTATCTCGTGATTTGTTTTATAATTCTTTTTTTTATTAAATCGAGCGAGATATTTCCTTTTTAATTATAAAACTTTTTACTTATATTAAACTTGCTGCGCCCGCATAATATTTATTATTTCTAACCTTCGCATATTGCTACTTCTCTTGATAACACAATGCATTCAAAAGTTCGATCATATCCTGAACGAATGAGGAGGACACAGATGATAAATCAAGGTTGAAAATTAAATCAGTTCTATTTGATCGGACCTGCGTGAATACCTGGGGGATTTCTCTTTCGACCTTTGGAAACTGAAAATTAAGACATATTACACCCTGTATGATCTTAACTTATATCATTATGTATCACTACGAGTATTAGGTCACAGGACTTTAGCAGAATTTGAAAAGATCGAAAAGATGATTAAAGATGATATACGAGATCCCATACCAAAATTAGCAGCCTTAATTGGAGTTTCGGGTAGTTACATGAAGTTATCATTTTACAAATTGTTTTACACTCATACTGATAGTTTGTTTCATAATACAATAAAGGGATGCGGAAAAACTTCTACAGTGTTTGAAGTTGGGATGCACAACTTTATCACATATGTCGTTGTTCCTCGTCAAAATGATTTATCCTGTAACTCAGACTTTGGGAACCTCCTTCTTGATATTAAATTCATTGTCACATCTAATAGCTACTCGATCCCTTTCAAAACCGAACAGGATGCTATCTTACAGAAACAAGAACGTGAGAAACTTATCAAGCTAAATATTATGGCCTTTGTGGTTGCCCGAAGACTTGCATGGTCAATACTCCGCATAAACTTCAATGATCAGTTTGACCCACTTATGTGGTTATACTGTCAAGAGGATTCACAATTCAACCGTATTTTTACATTTGTGTACAATACAGTTAAGAAAATGACGAATTGTGATGAAATTTGCCTGTATAAATATTATAATGACTTGGCAGATCATTTTGAAAGGGTAACTAATTATACAACAAGGTTCACAATTGCAATCGATGAATGTCATCTTCTACAACGATATTTTCGTCATGAATTTCTGCCTCAATCTGTTAAGCTACTAGATTATATAAATAATCTTCCTGAGGAAGGAACTTGGATATTTTCGCGACAAAACCAAAAGATCGTAAACTTAACAATCCTACGACGTCTACATTTCATCTAAGTTCAGTTCTTCCGGTTATGTTACAGAATTGTTAAAGCAAAATAATAATACAGTGATCGTTATGGGAACAAATCTAAAATTTAGAGATCTCAAAGAGATGGATTCTATGGTTGCAAAATATACCGAGAAAATTACAATCGAAAAGATTACGATCTTCCGATCACTTACAGCCGACGATGTTGTTGGGCTCTTTAATATATGTCTCAACAAACAAGGATTAACAGAAAAAAAAATATCATGTATTGCTGAGAATATGGAAGATAAGGCTTTCTTATATTCCTTTTATGCCTTTTTGACTCTACATTTTATAATTTGTCATTTGCTGGTATCACTTCCCAAGGACGAGCAAGTCAATCTAAAGAAATTTTAAAGTCCAAAGGGAAATTTCAAATTCTTCAGTGTCTAAAAAATGAATTTGAATGGCACATAACTAAAGATGAACGTACTGAAATTGGGCTACAACGAATACTGAATTCACTTGTAATCCATAAAAATAAGAAATACCGATTAATTATAGCTTAAATAATTTATATCACCCTTTTAATCATCTTTTTTTATACAGCACATTTTGATACACCATTACGGTCAGCTATTCATATTGATCAAGGTTACTCAATATCATTGCTACATACATTAGAAAAGAATGTATGTATTGGATGATCGATTCATATTGAGTTATTTATTTTTAATCTAATATTACATTAAACGTTCATCATTAAAATTCTACAGATCATATCAAGCGTGTTTTCTCATGGAAGAGTCCTTTTTACTTCAAAGGAAGAAGTTTGCTTTGTCAAAAAAGGATTTTGTCAAGTTGTGATGCTAACAACTTAGATGATGAAGTTATAGACCTTACCAGTGTTGGCAAATTTCAAGGTTATTTCCCTTTTTTTGAAGTGACCTAGATCACTTTATATATGATCACGTGATAGATTTCATAGTAAAATCATCACATTATTAGGTCATTTTAAGGTCACTTCAAGGTCATTTGCTAACACTGGACCTTACAGACCTTACAAAAGCAATGGAGGATCTTTATGTTAATGAGAAAGATGAAAACGATAACGATAAAAGTGATAATGATAATGATAACAAATTTAATTTTGATGTGAATCCTGAAATTGAAAGCAATAAATTAGCATCTTCACTTATTTCAAATGCATCAAGCAATGAAGATATAGACATCATTGTTGATATTAATATATTATTATATTGGGATCAATCATTGTGTTATGTGCTCAATAAATCTTGGATTCAAATAGAAGTTGGAATTGGCTAAAAATTCTTTAACCAGTTAATAACTGGTTAAAATTAACTTTGATTAGTATTATAAATTTGGTCAGCGTTAGACAATATTTTACAATCATAAAAATCTTAATTCTGACTAGAAATTGAATTTCAGTCAAAGTTAAATTCATCTATTTTAACTGATTAAAAAAATATTTAACTGGTTAAAAATTAATCAGTTTTAACCTATAAGTTCAAATTTCTGGATTTCATTTTTTGAAATTTGTTATTCAATTTTTGAAAATCACATGAAAAGTCTTTTTAGTAATGAATTTTTATCAAATGTTACAAAAGGAAGCCTGATATACTTTTATATCTTACAACTCTGCAAACTTGAAAAAATCAATCAATTTTAACAAATTTAAACAAACAAAATTATTGTGTGATGATGTTACACTTCTGTTATAGTTCATATCATTCCTTAGAGTTCTTCCATTTGATAAGGTACATGATCAATCAAATGTTATTACTAATAAAAATAGTATTATTAATTTTTTATGCTTAGATCACCTTACATATTTTCTTCTTTCTTCCTAATTCACCAACTCAGATGATATTATTGTTACCAATATCTCAGAAATATATGTGATCTTTTCTTCTGCATTTAAAGATAACTAATTTAGATATGCTATATACTAAAAGTAATAGAGAATTGTATTCTTTGTCAAGGTTTAATAAAAATTCACTTCATATGTGTTATGATAAAGTTCAGAAACTTATCAAAACAAACTGCATATAGGATGTAATATAGGCTCTTTACAATAGAAAGGGAGGAAACTACCAAAAAAATTTTTTTTGAGTTAATGTTAAATCTGAACTTATTTTATTAAAAAAATAATATTTAGCTTATAAAGTAAAAAAATTTTTTGGTAGTTTCCTTCCTTTTTATTGCAAAGAGCCTATATGTCTTAATTTTCAGTTTCTAAAGGTCGAAAGAGAAATCTCTTGGGTATTTACACAGTCTGATCAAATAGAATTGATTTAATTTTTAATCTTGATTTATCATCTGTGTCCTTCTTATTCATTTAAGATATGATAAAATTTTTAAAAGTGTTGTGTTATCAATAGAAGTAATAATATATAAAGGTTACTATAATCAGATGTTTATAGCCAATCATGATAGGAAAAATAAATATTATGCGATATAGCAAGTTTAATATGACTTCCCTATATAATCTTTAAAAAATGTTACGAAATGACTAACATTACAGCATTTGGCTAGAATTAATTGTGACGCATATATAATATATAGTGATAACAAATAGGATTTCATCTATCAAGAAATTCTAAGTCCTTATAATATTTAGTAATAATAAAATACAGAGGGAGGTGACACTGATAACAAATTATATTATGTAAAATTTCATAAAATTATGCAGTGAAAGTCGTTTAATATAAGTAAAAAGTTAAAAAAGAAATATAAATCACTATTGTTATGATATGATTAATATATTTTTCAACATTTTAGTTTAATAAAAAATGAATGGTTATAACAGATACAGAATTATATAATACATATAAATGATCATATTTTTTATTCTGAAGGTTTTAAATCAGGTATCACTGTACTATCAAAATATATGCTATTTTTAAAATTTATTAGATTGATAAATTTTTTTTTAAATATACATTTCGAATTAATATGATCATTTGATTTTTTTCATTATAGTTGAATCCATAATAAAACCAAATTTTACATAGATATTTCAAATTAAAATTTTTGATAAAATCATATGATTATAACAAGATTTATTTATGATTGGCTAGATATTTGATCACATAATCAATATAAATTCAGCCAATATTTACTTTATTAATGAAAATAAAATCTGAAATAACCTGATGTGATTTATACTTTTTAACACATAATTAACTTGCATATCTGTTAATCCTTTTCGATAATACTTCATAAAATTTGCTAATTTTTATGCATATTTTTTAATATGATTTAAATAAATTAAATCTAATATACATAAAACTATTTTTTGCAAACCTCTTTAAGTATAATTTGTTGAGTATAATGTTTTCCAGCTCTCTAATACATTTTAATATAATTGAGTTCACAGTAAAATTTTGGATAAAATATTATTTATATTTAAGTCTCTCAATAACTTCTTATAAAATTAGTTTTGATTACACTAGTCAAAATCAAAAAAAATCAGATATATAAAAAATCAGTATAAAATCAGCCTAAATTTGACAAATTATCAAAAATCAGCTTAGTTGATCAGCATACATTAAGAATTGGCTAAATTTGGCTAAAATTTGACTTATCTTATTTATAGCTGATTGGCATACTCATAGCCGATTAGTATACAGCAAAAATTAGCTAAAATTCAACCTATATTATTTATAGAATAAAATGATTGTATCATTTTAATTAAATAATAATATAAAAATTGTTCAATTGAAATAATTTTATCATTCTAATTGAACAATAATACAAAAATTGTTCAGTTAAAATAATTGTATTATTCCAATCAAACAATAACTAAAAAATCATTCAATTGAAACGTTTGCATTATTCTAATAAATGAAAATTAAAAAATCATTCAATAGAAATAATTATATCATTCTAAACGAACAATAACCAAAAAATCATTCCTAAAGAACAATTTTTTTATCATTCTAAAGAAATGATTCATTATTGTTCTAAAGGAATAATTTTTTATCATTCTTAAAAAATGATTATTTATTTTATCGTTCTAAAAGAACAATTCTTTATCATTCCTTAGAAATGATTTTTTTATCGTTCTAATAGAATAATTTTCTTATTATTCCAAAAAAACAATTATTTATTTTAATAAAACGATTCCTTTATCATTCCTAAAAAATGGTTTTCTTATCGTTCTAATAGAATGATTAAATTATCATTCTAAATAAAGTTGGTAACTGCAATTAAATTATATAAGTTGCAACTTTATAAAATTTATTATAGTTGCAACTTATAGTTATAACTATTTAAAAGTTGCAGCTTTTATAATAGTTGTAACTTAAATTAAAGTTGCAATTTTTATAATAGTTGCAACTTA